AACATTCTGTGTGATTCTGTGATCTAACTGAATAGGCTGAGGGGGTGGGGGGGAGGTAAAAGACAGCAAACACCTAAACAGAAGCTTTTTCAACAGATCAGTTATAGTTTTACACATCATTCCATCTTATGTGGTATAGATGGTTGTAGCATAACTCTGATTTGCAAACAAGTTAAGAAGGCAGTCTATTTCCTCACCTCCAAACTAGGAATTGTCTGTTTTTTCCCACGAGGAGCTTCAAAAAACAACTGCTCTTTAGCACCAGTGTTGACTTGCAAGAGCTTCCCTATAAAACATATTATATATTGTATAATAACAAAATTTCATTTAACAAAAAAACCCCAAACAATCAAAACCAACCAAAAAACCAACCAAAAAACCAACCAAAAAACTTGTATAATGCATCCTTTTTCTCTCCTATTTATGGCTGTCCCATCAGACAGTAGACAAAATATACTGGGTCTAAATCAGAGCTTGCTTCTGACAACCAGCTGACCGGTACGCACGTGCTCTTGGGACTGAGAAGCACCTATGCTGCCTGGTCAATGGCTGCTTCCAAGTAGCTGACTTCTGCTTGTCTTTATATTACTTCTTTTCTGAGGGAAATTCTCATTAATGTTTCTGTCCTCTTCTTGTTTTCAAAATTCTTTTTGAAAGGAAGCTAACTTATAACACTTTCAAATTAAACTGGACTGCTTCAAATCTGATTATGTAGAGGAATAAGAGCAGGAACTAATAGATTGCACAATTGCTCTGCCTTGTTTTTGTATGAAACAGGACTAAAGTCAGCATTTAAATTAATCATCTGTTCAGACCCATGAAGACAGAAAATCCAGTCTTTCCACTATTTTTGACAAGGATACATGTTCCTGAGCTACAGATGCAACTGCATTATGCAGTACATTATTCAAGAAGTAGAAGTCAATAATAAGCAGAGAAGACATAAAAAAACCCAACAAAAAACCCTCCAAACAATCCAATCTATAGAGACAATCTATTTTACTTCAAATTGCACAACTTCTAAATACACAAACAGTAGTAAAAATAATGTTTTTATATTTATTCAGATGCTGTGAACATACTCATAAACTGAAGAAACAAATCTGTCAGTGATACTATAAATTCATACTGTAATGTGCTGTATTTAGTGTATAATGTAATCAATCTTCCAGTAGATTTTTAGAAAGAACGCTACTTACCTCTTATGTCCCAGTCCATGTGTGTGATATAGCTGGAGGCTCCCTTGCAAATTCCTACTCGTTTACTGCTCATTACATTGTAAATATCTACAAAGTTGTCACAGGATGCCACAGCTAAATACTTTCCAGCCCCTAAAACACATCAGTAGAAACAGAAGACATATTCCAAAATTGTAGTGCTCTGTGTATTAAAAACAAATACATTCTGGAATTTAGCTATATGCAACTGAGACTTCTTTGAAATGAGCTTGCTAATTTATACATAGTCCCTGACAGACTAATGTTCATATCACATAATCAAAATCAGTATGAAATATATGACCATTATATCTTCAAACACTAAAAACTATTTGATGAAATTTTAAACATCTATTGCACTCAGAGAGTGCTAAGGCTTAGGTAACCAGAAAGTAATGTTGCATGAGAATTGCTATCAGCAGTTTGCATAAAATCTCTCCTACAGAAGAGTATTTCACTGAAGCAGTATTATTAGTTTAGACCATACATTTGAGTTCCTAAATAAGAGCTGTACTGTCTGAAAAAAACTAGCCTCACTGGGAGTGCTAAGCATTGTAGGGGGGAAAAGAAGAAGACACATCCATTTCAAGCACTCTCATTAGCTAACAGTAACCTCAGTGAAGAGCCAAACTTGCGCCGTTGAAAGTGGAATCCTAGGGACCTAAGGAGGCTGCTGGGTGTTCATTGTTTAAAATTGGTTGTTGCATTCAGGAGGTTAATATGAGTGAATCTATTCAAATAATCTCATCTTTCAATGAGCAACACAGGATTTCACACCCAATATTTTTCAAAATTTGAATGGAAGTCTTGCTGACTTGTTACATGTAAAAGAGTACTACAAATCTCTACTTCTTTTATCTTTTGAAGGTTATAAAGCTTGCTTGAACAACCTTGATACAAAAATCTTAATTTTAAATCACTTACCAGGAGAAAATCGGATCTCTGAAATAACATCTTTCCTGTGCTGGAAAGAGACTAGATCCTCCAGTGTATCTGCATTAACTATCAAAAAACTTCCATCATTGAGTCCAACAGCTAATGCTTTTCCATCAGGAGAAAAGCAGCAACATCTCCCTCCTATGAGAAATGCAGAAATGGCATTCAGGTACATTTACAGAGCATAATCCCTCTTTTAGATTTATTATTCCAGTAGTTTAGGAAAGCTATTTTTATACTATATGGTCTAATTAAATTATTTAGATGCTGCCAAGATCATTTCCAAGCTCTACATCTGTGACAGCACACAGAAACTATCATCAAATCGAGAAGTACACAGCTCCAGAATCTTAGATTACATTTATTTGCATATTAATTGACATAAGTTCTACATTAGTAATACAGATTAATCACTATTGTCTATATATTTTTCATTTGCTCTCCTTCTTAGTGTCTGGTGCCAGTTGTTTGTTACCATTTGCTCTGGTAAGGAGAACGCAGTTGGAAAAGATCTTCTGGACTCACAGAATCCAGTCATTTCCCATCATGGTCACTATGTCATATAATCCTTTTAATAAACATGTCAAGTTTAATTTGAAAAATAGTTTCATTTCCAGTCTGAATTTACTTAGGGTCAGCTTGTATAGATTTGTTTCCATGCTAGAATTTTCCATTAGCATAAATATTTTTCCCTACTATTTGTTCCTCTGATTAACTTGTAGACAGTAATCTTTTATTTAGCTGACAAAGCTTCTCATTCATTATCCTGTAGCTCCTCTTTCTCCACACTCAACTTTCAGTTTAATTTCCTTCAGCTGAACACAGATGAGAAGTGTACACCAAAATCATTCTGATTAATCTCTTGTGAATTACATTAATACTTCAGTATGTCCGGGGAAAAACACCTCACTATCACACATAATTGTCATCCTGTGATCAGCTAGAAAATCCTGAGCCTTCTGCTCCTCAGTTACTTCTCAGCTACACAGACATTTTCCTTACAGTCACCAAGTCTTGTCTTTTTTAATTACCAAAAACTATCCCATTTCTTTTACTGCAGTTTGTAGAAGTATCCTCCTTTTTCTGTACAGTACACAGATACTTTTTAAGATCGCCAAAGCACCTCAAACTGTGTCTCATCAGCAAATAAAGTTCTCACAGTCCTTCTTTTTCTGCCAAAACTACTTTTATTAATATTAAGAAATATCATCTTTCATAAAGAAGATAAGCTCAACATCACTCCTAAGATTTCTTCCAAAAATTTCTAGATTCAAAGTCCTCCACTGTTCAAAAAAGTTTGCATTACTACAACCAACATGGCAGATTTATGAAATTGGCTCAACTTTTGTCATAAGTTCACTGACTTAAATATGTTACAATTGCAAAAAATCTTAAGAACAGTATTACATAGAAATCTTGCATACAGATTCATTAGCTTAAGGACTACATAACTCTCAAACATAGCATCGATAAAATAATGTGAGCAAAGAAAGGAATTTATTCAGTCTTGCTTTTGAAAGATTCATAATATCAGTAAATGTCAACTGAATTCAGTTAAATACGTTTTCATACTAAGCATCTTACCCTTCTTCAATTTGCGAACAGCTAACATACAATGGCTAGGAGATAAATCCCATATTCTTAAAGTTTTGTCATCACTTACAGTGGCACAAATAGGTAAATGAGGATGAGTAGCTAGACCCCAAACTTCCCCCTCCATGTGACCCTGAAAAAACATAATCAATCAGATAACTTTGTATTTTAAACTGAAATATAAAATAATACATTTAAGGAAGTTAAAAAAACAAAACAAAACAAAAAAAACCAACAGAGAGAATATGCATATCTCTAGAGGATAATAAAGAAATATCTGAATAGAAACATAGAGTACCTGAAAAAACTGACTCTGCTACTCATAGTGAAAGTGCAAATTATAATAATTAGTACTAGAGAAAACTTATTGAGAAACAATCCTCACACACATCTACATCAATGACATGGACAGTGGGATCAAGTGCACCCTCACCAAGTTTGCAGATTACACCTAGCTGAGTGGTGCGGTTGACATGCCTGAGGGATGGAGTATCATCCAGAGGGACCTGGACAGCTTGAGAAGTGGGCCTACGTGAACCTCATGAGGTTCAACAAGACCAAATGTAAGGTTCTGCACCTGGGTCGGGGCAATCCCTGGTATCAATACAGGCGGGGCAATGAAGAGATTGAGATCAGCCCTGCAGACAAGAACTTGGTGGTACTGGTGGATGAAAAACTGGACATGAACCAGTAACGTGCGCTTGCACGTTGGCCAATTGTATCCTTGGCTGCATGAAAAGCAGCATGGCCAGCAGGTCGAGGGAGGTGAGTCTGCCCCCCTACTCTGCTCAGACCCCACCTGGAGTACTGTGCCCAACTCTGGAGTCCTCAGCACAAGACAGACATGGATCTGCTGTAGTAGGTCCAGAGGAGGGCCACAAAAATGGTCAGAGGGCTAGAACATCTCTCCTACGAAGAAAGGCTGAGACAGCTGGGGTCATTCAGCCTGGAGAAGAGAAGGCTCTGGGGGGACCAGATAGCAGCCTTCCAGTAGTTAAAGTGGGCCTATAAGAAAGATGGGGACAGACTTTTTAGCAGGGCCTGTAGCAATAGGACAAGGGGTAATGGTTTTAAGTTAACAGAGGGGAGATTTAGACTAGATATAAGGAGAAAATTTTTTACAGTGAGGGTGCCCAGAGAGGTGATAGATACCCCATCCTTGTACACATTCAAGCTCAGAATGGACAAGGCTCTGAGCAACCTGATCCAGTTGAAGATGATTCTGCTCACTGCAGGGTGGTTGGACTAGATGACCTTTAAAGGTCCTTTCCAACCCAAACTATTCCATGATTCTGTGATCTGTATTTTTTATTTACTTTAGTTTTTAATACATTCTTTTTTTAAAAAATCTAGTTCTTTACAAATTGCATTGGCCACTCAGAAGTGTGAATTCAAGATCCACGTTTTTATTTAAGTATGAAAGAAAATAATGTGATGATATGATGTAAAATCTCTGTTCTATACTCAAGCTTAAGAACTGCAGTCTGTTTGGTATGGCAAATAAAATGGAAATGTTTTTTACATAATTACAAAGAAAATCTAAAAAACCTCAAGGAGATAACTTTTAAAAACAGTAAGAGTAATCAGTATTCAGAAAAAGATAATAAGGCATTTGGTGAAGGATCCACTGTTTCACACACTTATTTTTAAATTTTAAAAAGAAATATGATTTTTGTCTGTTTGAAATGAACTTGTGGAACAAATTAGTACATTAAATTCTGTGATCTGTTTTGCTCATTAAAGAGTCATAATGGTCTAGCCTAGCATTAAAAATCTAGTAAGTGACAGTAACTCACTAACTTCACTAGTAATTAAAATGCTTGTTATTTCACACCAGTCTTTATATGAAAAATAAAATAATGTTTGTGGTATGGAATATTTGACTATTTAACATGTACCTGAACCAGCAGAGTTATTGGTCCACTTTTATCCACCTCCAATATTTCACCATTCTTTGTACCCACTAAAATATGACCATGTCCTAAAGATATGGCACGTATAGAAGGATTATCTTCTAAGAGGAGACCTAGAATGTTAAAATGTTAGAAGACAAGATTCTCAGGTATCTTAAAGAGGATTTTTCACACATGCACATTACATCCTCACTGTAGAAAAAGATACTCAGAAGTAAACAAGTAAAAACATACTCCTGCCTGGAAGAACTTAAGACATTTGCATTCATTTGGGAGTATTTAGCAATTACCCAACTGACATTAATCTTTCTCCTCAACCGAGTATCTCTGAAGTTGATTCAGCCTGACTCACTGGCTTAGTGAAAAAATGTGAACATGAATTATCAACTACACTACTATACTGCCAGCATTTATATTACCTTCAAATCTACCTTTTTATTAAACAGATATGAGAATGAGATAGTCTGCAGTAGAATGTTTTAGTTAAAGGGTGTTTCCATTTGTGATTTTTGAAAAACAACCCATATACATTAGAACAGAACAAATGTTATTTTAAAGTGGAGAAGAGAAAAGGCTATCCAGGAGGTCAAATAAGGAAAACTGTAAATCAGCACTAAGATCAAGAATAAATGGAAGAAACAGGAATAACAGGAATGAAAATGTTCTTAAATAATTTCAAGAGACATGTATTTACAGAAAATTAAGTCACAAAATAAACTAAAACATTACAAAACTAACCACAATTCTGAATTCTGTTTCTCCTCCAAATAAAAAAAAACCCAACAAAACAAAACAAAAAACAAAACCAGGCAAGATACTTCATGATTAGAAATATAATAGGCTTTTTGGCTGCCGTTTAAAAAAAAAAAATTACCTGAGTGGTAAAAGAATCAAGGTTAAATCAGTTAATTCAGGCAGATAATAGGGGAAATATGATCTGCACCCACCAAATGTGAAAACAGACACTTCAACATCCCAACTGAAAAACTACTTATTTAGAATGAATAAAGCTTTAAAAAAAAAAAAAAAAATTTAGTATTCCTTAAGTCAAATGCGGATTTCCTCCTACTGGAGAAAGCAATTCCACAGAAGTACTTTTCTAAAGAAAGTATTTTAAATGCAATAAAAAATAGGGTATGTCTGTGTTACCTTTAGACCCAGGGGCCAAAGCAGCCCTTTTGATGGCATAGGTTTTGAGACAACGTTCAAAGGTATCATCCCAGAGAGCTACTACCCCATCCTTTCCTCCAGTGACAAATCCCTGTCAAAAAAATAAAAAATTTTTTTTTTTTTTTTAAATCACAAGTTCTAATCAATTATTATCTCTCCTCAATTTTTCAGTGTTTTCTGCCAATACTGAAAATGGATTATATACAACACTGCAATGCACAGAACTACATCTGTTAGAGATTAAAAGATCAGAAGTAACAAAATTGCTGAATTGTCCTCCTGACGAAGTCAGTACAGTCTGTGCAGTGCACATACACAGGTTGGATTTAAAAATTCTAACCAATAAATTTCTACCATACTAGAAGAATAATTTGACTGACATAATGAAATGTTTTTCTTCATATTTAGCCTCAATATCCCTCTGGTATTTCACGTCGTTACTGCAAGCCAAACTTAGTACCACAAACACACACCATTAAACTCATGGGTGCTTAAATCAAAAAGTACTTTTGTTTATCATAAGTTACTATTATTTCTTTAGTAAGAGATCATAAACCACAAGGGTTTGAGAAACAGCACGCTACATAACAAGAATTAGAAACATGCACAAAACACTGTTTTGAATCTGGACCTCACAAGGCTTTTCTGTAATAGGAAAGAAAGCCACGGATTTCCGAGTCTGGGAAAGGCCTAACTTCAGACTTTTTTGTCCAGACATCAAAAAACAATGAGCAGTTTATTTACTTTTTCCAATGCGTGCATGCTGAACACAGGACCATCATGTGCTTTGACAGTTTTCATGAGAAACACATCTCTCCAAATACACACATCCCCCGTGGAAGTTCCAGAGAAGGCCATTTCTTCAGTCCAGCCATATACTGCACACATCATTGTATCGGTTCTTCCCAATGCACCTATGCAGCCCTTTCTCCCAATGAGTCCTCCACCTGGTCCAAACCAAAAACAAGCCATCAGATGTTTGCTTAGAATTACCTTCCAAAAGCTTTACAACTTTACCCAGAGCAACAAGTCCTTTTCTTCTGGTTCACCCTTGCTCCCAAAAAATTGAACCCGACAAGAGTTCTCACAAAATAAGATTTTGGTACTATATGGCATCTTTCAATAGAAAACCCTTACTTTTAACTTACTGCTTGAATCTGGATTTGAATTTGTACATATACCCACACAGATATACAAAGAGAAAATACATTTGCAAACTTGCATTAAACAAAAGACTTAAGATCATAGTTAATATGTTTGTAGAAACACAGTTCATAGAAATTCCTAATGAAATTAACTCAGGGAAAAACAGAAATGTTTAAATACTGACATCCCATCCTTTTCAGGATTTTTTTTTAGTGAGAGAACTTCTGATTTTATTGTAGAGGCTTACCATATTGGCCTCCGGATAGCAGAAATGTACAGCTATATAAATTTTAAAATTCTTTAAAATACCATTATCTAAAATCATTTGACAGGTATAACACATAGTAACTTCTGACTAGAAAGTCAGATTTATATTTTCACAATCCTTAGAGAAACTTCATCTGGTACAACACAGAAGCTCCTTAGGATCTGACCCTTCATACTATTCCCATACAGTCTCTGAACCTCTCTGCCATCACTTGGCACTGATGAAAATTTAGCCCAAAGCATATACTTTGGTGTCAATTCCCGCATTAAGTGCACCTGCTCTAGTGCAGATTTCAGAGAGCTAGAATTTCTTAAGGTGCACTGATACTCTACTCCTCACGTTAACACTGCTAAGTGTGTTTCCCAGTGACTGCCTTCCCAGTGTACCATTGCAGTTTCACACAGATGAGCTGTAGCATTAGACAAATCTGATTCTTGCTGACTGAGCAATGCCAGAGATAAAGAAGCATTATAAACAAATTCATTTCTTTATTCAAAATCACCATCTCCAAGCTTTTATTATAGTTTTCTTTCAAAATAATTTATAGTAATTAATTCAGTAAATATTCTGAGACACTTTGTTCTTTCTATAGATAGCAAGTACAATTGTTAAAATTAATAATTTATATAAAATTCAACAGCTTGTCCTCAAGCAATCTTGATTAATTACTGTTGGAGACAGAAGTAAGAAAACTAGCACAATTTTTTCATCACACTTTTCTGCCCACAATTAATCTTTATCAAAGGCTCATGAGTTGAGGTATATAAATTCTGCATGAAAAATTAGAACATTTGTAGGAGATAAGTTAGTCTTCTGTAGCACAGGTCTTTCTAAGTTTTGAGATTTGAAACAATGAAGTTCACACTAATATCAGGGAATGATTTTTTTCACTCTTCGAAATTTTTCAAGCAGATAAAGAAAGCTGCTTTATCTTGGCTTTTAATTGTCAAGTTCAATAGAGGTATCTAAACAAACAAGTCTCAACCAGCACATATACTCTCTTCAAGTACTCCATCTTACTTTTTGTATGAGGATTTTTATAACCTTAAATTTATTTATATGACTCTTTATAACAAAGATGTTCTAAAGGTTCCTCTTCCAAAAAACTGTTCTATGATTTTAGAGCAGCTCTGTAATATTTTCAGATGTGCTATATCATTACTAGATATAAAAACAGACAATACAAAATCCAGGGTCATTTCTACTTGTGTAGCTCTAGCTCCGTGGGCAAATTGATCTTATAAAAAATTCCCACTATGCCATAATGCCAATTAATGTTATTTCTACTAGGGTAAAGCTAACTTAGAGAGATATACAGAGAAAACATTTGCCTTTAATGCATGAAACATACTGTAAGAGATGCAATATTTACACTTTAAGTAATAGAAAATGCTGTAATTCTGGAAAGTTTCCTTACCTGCTCTACGCCAGAATTTCATGTGTTTAATTCCAACAGTGATCAATTTATCAGGCATATAAGGATTGATCTTAACTACAAAAATCTTATCTTTGCTTCCCCTGAAATGCAAAGCAAAATATTTTCAATAAAAGTTTAACTATTCATATTTTTAAATAGGGTTTTTTTGCCAATGTATACCTTCTCTATCTTGCCAACATTTACTTCCAAATCATTAACAATAATTTATTAAGAGGAGGAAGAAAGCCAAATAACTAACATACTGAGTCCTGTTCCATTTTCATTACCCTTCAGATCTCATTTTGAAAATAAATTGCCATTCTCATCCACCTTTTAATTGATTTTTCTTTTTCTTATTAGAATAAAACATGCTGCTATATCAATTTTAAATGGAAATTTCAGTTGTTTCTAAAAACAATAAAATCTGTTGTGTTTTATATTTCTTACTATGCTTCTATAAAACCAATGCCTTGTTTCAGTCCTATAGTTTAAAAAACACCTTTCAACTATGTTTGCTATCTATGCAAGGAAAGTACTGCTTACTAGTAGGTTTGGGGTTTTTTTAAATGCCAAAGAGCCTCTAATCCCTAATTTTTGCTCCTTGTTCAAGAACGGCAATAATCTTTTACCTTCTGTCATTTTCAGACCACTAAATGAACTAGTGGCAAAAAGCATTTCTTTCCAAACTCACACTGTAATCTTTGAAGTATAGATGCTGCTCTCAAAAATTCTATTCAATTCCTCTGTGTAGGTAGGAGGAAAAACACTCCAGAAAGTAAATCCAGTATAAACTGGTTAAAGTTTGATTTAAAAAAAAAAAAAAAAAAAAAAGACATGGGATTGGGGGGTTAAAAAAGCAGGGGGGTTTAAAAAAAAAAAAAAAAATTTTAAAAAGCTGGAAAAAAAAAAAAAAATCTTGTGAAAGGCAGACAAATGAAAAGCCCAAACCAGTATCTTCAGAGAAGCCAAGCTAACTGAGCTTCTGACAAATAACTGGGAAGGGAGTACTCTTCTTTATCATCTATTCAGGATATTCATTCCTCAGTGGATAAGAAACTCGAAGCCTGTTTAATTAGTGTATATGAAATAATCTGCGCAGAGTCAAAGAAACTTCCAAAATATTTAACCTTTGGAGGTTGTTTAGTCCAACTTCCTGTTCAAAGCAGAGATAACTTCAAAGTTAGATCAGGCTGCTCAGGACTCAGAAAGGAAAAGGTAAGAACCTTGAAGAAAAGAGAACTGATCTTGTCTTATATGTCTTCTTTCTTCACCAGTTGAGGTGTCTCTGTAATAATTCCTGTTGACTCTATCAAAGCTTCAGTTTTTCTTCCAAAGTTCTAAGGCTGTGCTAAATGTTATTGCCTGTATTACTTAAGTGATAGAAATTGCTAATTTATTACAGAACTGTTATTCTCTAATTAATATATTTTGCTTATTGTCTTTTGAGACTAAATCTAGGTACAAATTTTAAAACAAAGTTAAATTCCTACCTTATTGCTGAAAGCTTTTCACCTTTCTTCCAATCCCAGAGTACAATAGTGTGATTGTCATCTATTCCAACAGATGCTAATCGTTTCCCATCCGCTAAAAAAATAAATTGATGATTAAGAAAGCAGACAGATAACACTATGTTCCAATAATAAGAAACAATATTAAAGAATATTATAACTTCACAAATATTATAAGAAGAATGTACAAACACGTACATAATTGTATGATGTGTGCTTAGAGGTATGTCTGTCATCTGTTTGCTTTTAAACTTGAGTGGTCAGCTGGATGGAGTTTAGGACTTCAAGTTACCTTGTCTAAAAATTGCACTTAGATCCTCTGTGTTTGTATCAAATGCTTTGTTCAGCTAGTTGCTGACACAGTTGCACAAAAACCTTTATTACAGGTTGTACTGTGAGATTTTCCTGTCCACTCTGAAAATACCTGTTCATTTCTAAACAGGAAAGCATTGAAGCAATAACATGAAGTTTATTAAACATCCTTGAACTTATTAAGTGTGAAGCCTTGAGCAACTCTGAAGTATATCCCATGTTAACCTCCAAGAAAGAAATTTTTTGTGCTCACTCATGATCAATAACTTTCTGACATGTATCCATCTTTGAAATTGCTATACATCCATGCCAGAATCTGGGAAATGAGATTCATGTCTTGGAAAAGGAGAATCAAAGAAAGGTAAGAAGCATCAAAGTCCCCAAACTACTCATCTTTGTGCCCAATATCTTCACTCTGAGGTTAGAGATCCTATCTAGTAAATCCAAACCAATAAAGAATGAAAAGAAGCCAGTGGAGAAAAATAAATTTAACATTGATACAGGAATTCAATGTATGGGATGCAAAAATCTCTAAAGATTTAACTGACAATCTCTTATGTGAGTATAAGGTAGAGAGAGGTGCTGTGTTTCTGCCCAGAAGAACTCCGTAACTGGACTTTCCGAATTTATCAGTGTGCTACCAAACTGGCCTGCAGGATTTAATAAAAATGAAAAAAAAAAAAAAAGTGCACACCTGATCAATTTGCTCAAAAATCTGCTTATACAGTTGTGATGCAGACACAATACTCAAGATGTGTGTGCCTGTCTCATACAAACAAAAGAAATTCCAAAGTGATCAGCTCAGCTATCAAGTGGCACAGAAACTGTTCCTGCATTTCCTGATATGCAAGATTCCACAGGAGCATTTTTAATGAATGATCCATTTAAGACAGCCTTTCTCATTTGACATTGATCGCTGGAGAATATTTTTAACACAAACTCTTCAGGGTAAAGGAATTTCCAATTGCTCATTAGAACTGATTAGCTTGTATTTTCATACAAAAAAGGAAAACTGCATATAAATAAATAAATAAACAGTTATTACCTGAAAAATCAACAGCACACACACCGTACTGGTGATAGCCCTTTAATACTGAGAGTGGTTTTATTGTTTCTGTATCCCAAATGTGTATTGAGGAATCTCGACCAACCTGAAAGTATACATATTTTGAACCTTTTTTTTTTTCCATTTCTCAGTTACTTCACACAGCTTTAAAACTATAATATTGACAAACACTTTTAAAAGTATCTGAAAAACTTCAGTTATAAAACTTTCCTAGTATTTCTTCTGTCTGGTCAAAAGTATATTATTGTTCCTCCTGCTTTACAAATATCACTCCCCAACTGTCTCTTTCTTTCCCCCCAAAAGAACTTGAGCACACTAATCACAATTAACTAAGAGTCCTCTTGGGGGGGGGGGCAGGGAGAGGAAGCCCATCATTGATTGCAGTGGCATATTTATTCCATCAATTCTCTATCAGTTATTCCCTAAAAATAAAAAGTTATTTTTATTGCTAGTATGTAAGCTACGATATGTTTGAGAAATTAAGGTGACTTCCATTGCTTTCTGGTGTCACTACAAGTGCCTACAAGTCAGATTCTAGCGCATTGATACCTGTGGAGCAATCCCCACTAGAATGACACTAGCACTGGTAACTAGAACTTGGCAAGAAATGGAATACAGTTTATTCTATTCAACTGTATACAAGCATTATTAGTTAATTTTTGCAAGATTATTTGCTATTCCAAAAGTTTTCCACCTCAATACCCAAAAGGGGCTGCAAAACCAGAATACTCTCCTGTATTAAGACCAAGGGCAGGACCCAAGAAAACTAGGATCTCCAATTTATTTAATAATAATAACAGCAACAATAATTATATTAATTAAAAAGCCCTGAAACATTAAATCAAACCTTCAAGTCCTGGTGTATAAACATTTAAGAGAAGAGATGTTTGTCAGAAAACATGAGTGAAAAAATTTACCTAAAATTACTGTCTAGCAAAAGATAAAATGAACTATTATAAATACTTTAGCAACATACATACCTGTGTTGCATGTACAAACAGTAAATAGTTTGGCTACAGGTGATAACCAAAAACATAATGCATGAAACTGAAATGCCAGAATGTAGTAACAACTGCTAACTTCATGTTATGTAATGTTACATGAATGTAACAATAACATAGCTAGCTTCACAACTAATTTACTAAAAAGATATATTTTACTTGCACATTTCCTCCACTTTTTATCATGAAGAAGCAACATAATGCTGAATAAAAAAATATTAATCTATTCTTAAACATGATTTCATATGCAACAGAAATGCAGACCTTCACATGAATAAATGTAGACTGGACTTCCTTCCTCCAAAACAGGCTTTTCTAAATTCAGTAGTAACAACTTCAGATTCTTATTGCAGATGAACATGCATCCTACCTGGCCAGTTGCCACATAGTCCTTTAAGGGATGAATAGCAAGGCAAAGAATGTCATCATCATGACCTAGATAAAAGCTCTGTGTGTTCTGCTGTCGATTGTACACCACTCCCACTGCTGCAACATGGTATACAATTTCACCCGTCTGAGTGTAAAATAAATTGCTTCGACAGTCGTAACCTCTGTAACTAATTAGAGAAAAGAATTTTGTTCATCAAGGTCATAACCAAATATACTGAAACTTTGAAACAAAATTATGCAAGATCTATTTTGCACATGGAAAAACTCAGATTACTTACCTATTACTGTATTGGTGGTTTAAGATTATAAACATTTTCCCAAAGGAATACCAATTTAACAATTTCATTTAGTATTCAGACATCAGTACTACTAGCATTAGTTTGAAAGTGGCTGCTATTTTATAGTTACTCTCAACAACTAGTTTAGAAGAAGAAGTAATAGCTAGTAATTTTTCCAGACCACATGGAGAATTCGAGCATGCAACATGTAACTAAAGGAAACAGCCAAAACTAATACTTTAAACATTTTCTATCTCTTACTGCTCAAAAATCATGCAGCAAAAGTTTCCACAAGAATGTGGAGAACACAGATATCATAAAACTGAAAGTTTCTGGAAACTTGCTAGCAGAAAACAAATGCATAATTTTTCTTCCAGATGAGTTTCTTTTTTGAAGGAAAACCTGTTTCCTTCCTGATACAGGAACAGGCATGAGTAGGCCAACTCCGAACGCATAGTATGCACTATCACAGTATACACATTTCTTCCTGGGTGTAATTAAGATTTAGTACCCCATAAAAACCAAAGGTAGCATTTTCAAAAAGGCTAGGGTCCTACTTTCAGAAGTAATTTAAGTGGCTCAGAAACCTAAAAAACATTAAACAAACAAGCAAGTTTTAAATTGGTGTTTTTAATAAAGTGACCCTTGGCAGTCAATGCAGATAACGTTTGCAAATGTGTAACTTAAATTCGTTCTTTCCTTTCTTCTGGCATAACAATGCTCCATATACTCCTGACACATCCTGCTTCTATGCTATTAATTCCCCAGCTAACTTCTTTTGCTTCTCCTGTTCTTATGGATCTTCATTAAACCAATTTTTTAATTATTTTACAAAGATGCAGGAAAAATCTGGTTACATTTCTAAATATACAGTTAAATTTACAGGAAGGGAATGACACACTTGAATGTGTTTGAGTTAGCCATGAATCATCTTTACTTAGTGATCAGAAGGATCTATCTCAATATTTTTGCACTCAACTTCTAATTGTACTAGTTGAAAAAAAAAAAGCCCTGAAGGTTATCAGCAAATCATTCTTGGCAAACAAAGTAAACTTTCACCATCAGCAACTGCAAACTAATAGAAATCTCTAATATCTATGTTATACTTCTCATGATATTAATTTCTTTGCTTAATTAAAACCACGTATCATCAGAAAGAGAAAACTATATTATTTTTAGGGAGAAAACAAATGCAGGATCTTTCTGCAACAGTGCAGGTCTTTAAGTTATCACATAAGACAAAGATGCATCTGTACAATACCAGCAAGTGTCAGACATAAAATGAATGGGATAGCATTAAGATAATTACTGCATCTGAGACACTTAAAAGGTTTAAATGACACAGAAATTATGCAGTTCAAGTATAAAAGTTTTTCATAAAATTATATATAGCTTTCCTTGCATACACGGTGCAACCATATGCACTGTTCAGATCATATGCAACTAGGGAAAAATAGCTAAAATAATCTCAAAAGGTTTTTAAACAGAGCAGCAGCTTGTCGAGGTCCATTCCTCCCTGGATGCAGGCCACTGCATTTCCCCTTTTTGAAGTTTATGAGATTTCTCCCTGCCCAGATCTCTAGCCCATCCAGGTCCCTCTCGATGGCAGCACAGCCATCTGGTGCACCAGCCACTCCTCAGTTTTATACTGTCTGCAATATTGTGAAGTCCAAAGTTGAGTCTCATTAGATCATGAAAAGTAAAGTGAAATTCTTCAACTAGCAAAACCTGTGATAGCAGAGAAATAAAAGCTTTTAAGTAAGTCTCTCTCCAACCCGCTGATTAAATTGGTTAGTCACAGGCAGGTTCTTAACTTCACGTTTGGTCCCAGTCCAGCAACTTTTCAGTGCCTCCTGAGTTACCATCCCTGTAAGGCCTCTAGAAAAAAATCTTTCTGTTAGGTCTGAGGCTCAGCTCCATGTCTACTCCCTACTCTTCTCCAACGGATCAACAATCTAGACTTACAACACAGGTGTAGAGTCTTCAGTCATCCTTCACTCTCCCTCCACCCGTACCTGTCACCACCCAAACTTCCTCCAGCAGCAACACATGCAGATGTTTTGAAGCTGATTTCTGCCTGACCCAAAGTGCTGCCTGCTTGCCCTGCCTTGCTGCACCCTTCTTTGATGTCCAGCCACTAGTTTTTAAAATGACATAAGACACAATGGCCTACAGTAACTATTAGAAAGAAAACAAAAATAATGTATCACAGTATGCAACATCAACAGTTTAAGGACATGACAACATTCACTGAGAGGCAGGGATGATAAAGGCAGGCACAGGGCCAAAGAAGTTAATCTGGACCTATCACTGCTCAGACATTATTTTCCTGTGCTTCACTCTGCACTGTGCTCCGTTAAAAACACTGTATTACCTTTGCAAATGCAGAATAATTAAAACAATGCTGATTATGCACACTAAATGAGAATATTTTAAAAAGCAGCTGCAAAAATATGTATGCTGAAAAAAATAATGCTTTAGAAGTACTGAACACTGAGCAATTTCTTGTGAGCTTAGCAGTTACCTATAAAAGTAAAAAGCATTAAGACAGCAAAAAGGTCTCAGATCCTTCTATCTGCAATCCAGAAACTCAGAATTTTCACAGCTCTTGACATAACAGTTGCCTATATACCCTAAGTTAATAATAATACCCAGTATGTTAATGCCATGTATCACAGGACGCACACTGAAACCCAGTATGTTAATGCCATGTATCACAGGACTACCCAAAACATCCAAAATGTATCTAGGACGCAGGAAAATAGTTCTCATTATTCATATCTATAACTTTTTATGATCAGAAGCTTGGATTTTAGGTCACTTCCTCCAGTTATTTTTTTTTTAAAAGGTGTACAATCAGTTGTTTATAATTAAAATAAAACATATTTTGCCAAAATATCAAGCAGTGCAAAGAAAGACATTTTGTAACCCAGTAAAACATATCTCATCTTTCTCAAATGCCAGTTTACTAACTTCCTGACTACACAGGTACTTTTCAACAGAAGGATAAAGTGATGGGCTTAGACATTCCAAGCAGAGATGAAAAGCAGCATGTTTCGGTGTAGAAGATCATTTCCTGAGAATATGCTACCCAGTTCCAAAATACTTACATCTCCAAATTATTAAACTAATTTAGAACTGAGATTATTAGGTAATCTCAGAAAAAGCACAAAGCAAAACAATTTCTTTGCATACCAAAAACAAACCACAGAATTAATTTACAAGGCACCTTGATCAGCAACTAGAAGCTAAATAATGAAGAAAGCTCTGCATCACAGTTACTCAATAACATATAACAAGGCACAATAAACATAACACTGCATTCTGTAGTAGTTGATGTTTTCAAGTGGTCTTCAGCAACAGCTAATCAAACTACTAATCCAGGACTGATTCAAGTTAATATGACAGTAACTTCCAAGAAGAAAAGATAGCCACCTCAGTGCTATGTAGGAAAAAAAAATTGTCATTACTACAGTCATGAAGAGCAGGGACTGGATTCAGTCTGAGATTAAGACATGTAAATGTAGGTGTTCACTTGTATATTAGAAATATTAACACCCACATTTTAATTAACAGTTTTCTAGTCAATACAGTCAATAGAACCTGCAGGGCTACTCAGCTGACCTGACTTGAGCCAAATCACTCCTTATGCTCCACTGACTACTGACTGAATCTCCACTGACTGTGACCCAAGTTTGTATAAGTTTGTATACACACATAAAACCACCTACTTTTAGGCACACAATTGTAGGTTATTTAACCTGAAGCTGGATCCTACCCACAGCTGCAAGTTACATATCTATAACCAACCAAGGGGCAACTTCACAAGTAGTGTCCTCTCTGGGAAAAGAGTCAATGTTCATAGTTTGTCTGATGTTGTAAGTGTTTCAAAATTTTTATGTTACTCTTCAAAGTACATATGGGAAGTTCCCAAATATAGTGCAACCCTCCCATAAAAGTTTCCAGAAGAACCAAATGTCAAAATAAACATGGTTGAGGTCAAAGTCTTTAGCACAAAGGTAAAGATTTATTTTTTTTTAAATACTTTTGCATGGCCGTAGTGTTTTCTCAACAGGACCCACTCATAGCCTATTCCCTTCAGACGCTATTTGTAGCCCCCTGGTAGGAATCTATGCAAGGTGTTATAAGACTCTCATTTAAAAGCATGAGAAATCCCATGTCATCTTGAAACTGTAACCAAATTTCATTGTATGATAAGGTCAGTTCAATGAATATCCTGAAACTCAGACTAGATACTGCTTAGATCCTTCAAATATTAAAATAAATATACATATATCATTTTTGTGAGATCAGCAGCATAGCTTTGAGAGAATACAGGGCATAAGTACTATACTTGCATCCTTATTCCCTATCAGTAAAAAGAAAATATTACAAGTACTGAGTTTGAGAAAGGTGTTCCTCTGAATATCTCAGAAGTTGTATCCTTTTTATGTTTTTGAACCACCACCGCTGTCAAAGACATGGCAGAAAGAAAATACAGGAATAGTCAAGAAGAGGCCAAACTAGTACACTACTTTAGTAACACGTTTCTGATCACAACTGCATCAGCTCTCGTAGAGAAAGATGCACTTAAAGATTAACTTGTTACTAGAAGTTGCTTTCTCATCCATGTTAGTCAGTGGCTGGCTCACATAATCAGCATTATTGTTTTTTTATCCCCTTCCAAAACCAGGAAGTAACCATAGGTTTGAAAGATTTCTTACAGGATATGAAGAGAATTTTAAAAGTTCATCTTTCAAGGCAGTTGACAAATTCAAAACACAAAACCAATGTGCTCAAAAACAAAGAAAGGAAAAAGAGCTTCCTATTTCCCTAGTTCAAAAAAGCACTGCTTTTTACACTTTCAAGGAACATCCAAGACATTTCCATTGCAGCTAAAGAAAGATGAAGCAAAGCAGACTTCCTGAATCAGAGAATATGCCTATTACTCACTTGCATGTGGGTCACTTTAAAGTTAACAGCCTGGACATTGAGAAAAATCTGTTGTTCAGCATGGGTTCTTCATTAGTTTCCTTGATGCCCACTGGGTAACCAGACAGAACTCAACTGGACATTCTACTTCTGGTCATTCTTGGATATTCTGGTCAAGCTTCACTTCTGTTGTGAAGGAAATAACAATAATCCCAAAGATCCAGGGCCCTTGCTTGTGCTACATCTTCTTCAGGATCATTTGGTTTGATTCTTAGACCAAATTTTAAAGACTACATACAGCTAACCACCTTAATGCATTTTCTACACAGATATAAAAATCTTCAACTGAGAATTCCAGAGCGTCAAAAATAGAAACAAAAACCAACTCTGTACCAAGCTTCACAGTTATCATTATTTCCGAAGCTATTCCTCAGACTCCATGTCTTATACAGACAAAATTGCTGACTTGAATGACTTAACTATACTTAGCTAATTAATTTATTAAGAATTCCATGTGGAGCCCTTCTAAAATTGCTGAAGTGTCATTATAGACAGTATCAGTAACTTATCTGTGCATTCAATTATCTCTAAAAGAAGTTGTATTCCTACAGAGAGGTATCTTTTGGAAGGAAAACACAATATTACCTAATTTCCAATGCTTTAATTTAATAAAGGCTTTGGTTTTGCTTTATATGAAGGGAATTTATATTTCTGATTATTATTCTAATGTAGTGATCTCTACTGCCGGTTTGCTTTAAAACACCACATCTTTGTCCTGATGAAAAAGTCTTCACTTATTATGAAGAATTAGGGGAGACTACCAATCCTAAAGATGAAATCATAAGATTTCAAGGATGCATCTGAAAGTCATTTTGCTACTCAAATAAGCACCAAAAAGAGAATGAAACTGAATTAACACACTTATTGGACCTACTAAGAATTAAATTTAATTCCTAAGTGAACAGAGGAAAGTTTAAATTGTTTCAAATTAGGTACAAACAGTTTATACATTTTTTTTTTTTAATAATAAAACACTGATAGGAACACCATTTACTAGAGAAGCCAGTCATCTTCAACTACACTGTTTCTGTCACAGCTTCCAAAATAATACACCAAAGAGAAGTCTTATTTCCAGATACTGAAAAACATGGGTGATAGTCAAGTATTATATTTAGTCAGCTCTATTCAAATAATAAGTATCAGCTAAACTTTCAGTGCAAATTCACTTCAGAATTCATGTTCAGAATTAGTCTAGCTTGGCATCAAAGCTTTCTATTAATTTACTATAAATTTATTTTACAGAAATAAACAAAAACAGTAAATCACAAAGCAATTGACCTAAAAGTCTTTCATCAGATTATTAAATTATAAATATCAATCTACAAACCACAAACAGTCTGTTTGCATATTTTAAAGAATCCTAGTTTTCATACCCATGAACAAAATGTAATCTTATACTGTTCCCTGGAGCTCGCTCTCGTCTCTTAGAAGCTGCACTTTTTCTTTTTTCTTTGCATTGCTCTTTAAGTTGAGGTAGATCTTCTTTGTAAACCTTTAAGAAAGAGCACACTTATAAATTAAGAGATTAGTAAGAAAAGCATGTTTCTGAGAATTCAGCCACAGTTATCACCCATAAAAATATTATACTGACATAAGTGGAAAAAATCTCCAGTAACTGTACCTGGTTACTGTGTAGTGTAACTTGTTTTTAAATTAAAAACAAAACTCTAATAGTACATGCTAGGAATACATGCAATTACTTTTTCTTCTCTATTGTGTCTTAATATTTTGAATGCATCAGATAATAACAATTCTAAAGGTTTTGGTCTGTTCCTGCTCAGCTCTCAGTCTCCCCAGTTTTCAGATTTCACCAGGTCTTCATGAAAGACTGACTTAAACCCACAAAGCATTCCAACTGCCATTAAAACTAAAATCTTTACCTGTCGACGATAGGTGATCTGTGTCTCTTGTTCAATTTCAGAGTCCAGCTCTGGAACATCAGACTGATCTGAATCTGATTCATCGCTATTAGAATCAACAAGACTCTCTGCCACCAAGAAAACAGAAACAGAAAATGAAGCAACCTAAATTACAAACCAGAAAGTCTTTAAAGTAACTGCTTAATGTTTCTGATTTGATAATCAATGCTTATATTAACTACAGAATAAACTGCTAATAACTGACAGGCTGACAGGATCAATTCTGCTGATACAGTAGAAATAAGCCAACTTGTAAGTATGACAAATTTTTTTGTTTCTTTTTGGGAGCGAGTTAGTTTTCATTAATTAAAATTATTTCATCCACAACAATGTTAGGAGGAAAAGAAGTAAGAAGAGAATGAAGTAATGAGTACAAAGAAGAAACTAAGACTTAAGAGAAAACTAACAAGAAAAGCAAAGGGCTCCAAAGATAAACTTATGGTAAAGTGATCAATTGATGTAAGTAGCAATTCTTCAAAGTGGATTAGGAAAAAAAAATAAAATCATATATGGGAAGGAAGTGGTAAAATTTTTGGTGACTGTGGAGAAAAAGAGTAGTCATTTAATGTTTCTGTTTTACATCTGGGGAAAGCCAGATAACGTTTTAGCACAGAGCTTCATTCCAACAGAAACCAGAAAGAAAGTCCTGACTAATAAATAATAAAATATTTGGATCTTTCTACGACCTCTGACTGAATGTTGCACATTTTTAAATTAAGAAACCAGACACAAAATCGGTCTAGAACACAAATGGATTTTAAAAGATCTCAAAATGTAACTGCAAAGAGGGAATCACCACTCAGTAAGAAATTTTTCTAGATATATGCAATAAAGACCAATATTTGGAGCTATACTATTTAACATTTTTATCAGTGATCTAGAGAAAAACAATATTGCTACCGATAGCAGATTACAGAGCTCAAAAAGCCACTAACAGGACAATTATCAATACTGTCTCAAAACAGATGTAGGTTGCACATACTGTCAGATAGCCAGAAGTAAGGTTATATATTCAGGAACAAGGAATCTAAAGAACAATTAATATAGAGAAATTTTATCTTGGAAAGCAGTAGCTAATGAACAATTTGAGTCAAAGGAAATAATTAGTTGAAAATGAATTCATACCATGAAGAATCAAACCAGTTAAAGGCTTTTTGGAGGCTTCATCAAGGAGATGAAGAGAACTACTGCTTCTTTCTGCATTTGGCACTGACAAGGCCAGCACTGAATCATTATTCAATTACCTATTAGCTGGGCCCACACTGATACATCTTCATCTGATCTCAGCAATTAAAGGGTGAAACAGTCTATTTCATTGTAATTCTATACACCTATTTCTCCAAAGGGCTCTCTAAATTCCTTTAGGAATTTCCAAGTGAGGCGCTCAGTTAATTGTATGCTTTTAGTAAACTCAGTCATGGGAATAATTGCTGTATTAGTCCCTGGTGGAAACATGATCTACATTTTTTCCAAATATTAAGCACCTGTTAGTTTGCTTTAAAGAAAAAAAATAAAAATCAATTACAATGCTTAAATTATGATCTAAATAATTCAAAATTTTAACCAAATGAGTAAATACATCATTTTTTTCCAGTGACATCTGGGCATCCAGTTTTAGCCAATTTAGTAAAGGATTATATGTACAGAATTCATAAATTCATATCTATGATCCAAACTTTTAAATTTTCCCTTTGTACATGGAACACAGCGGTGAATTTCTGTCACAATCCTGCTAGACTGAGAGGACAGGCAAGTATTAGGCAATGCTACCAAGTACTTCAGGCAGCTGCGAAGTTTAAAGAATAACAATTTTTTGCAGACTGACGATTCCGAATATTTATTTCTATACTTACAACAAATAATTTTACTTTTCTTTTAGCCTCCCCTCCTCTCATCCCTTTTTTTTAAAAAAAAGTTACTTACCTTGAGGTGCTATATGAACAGAATCCTTCAACTTCCTGTCAGGGACAAATTTCCACTGAAAGACAGAATGATCAGCTCCCCCAATGGAAACGACCCACTGGTGATCGTGTGACCATCTGACATTTGTCACATGAGCAGAATGACCGAGATATTTTTTAAACTTTGCTCCTAGAACAAGAGTAAAAATGTCTTTGAACACATGTGGAATAATATTTTAGAAGCACCTCAGGAAAACATATCAAGGAACTCTTATAAAAAGCAATAGTTTAATTAAATTTTAAGATAAATTTTTAAATTTGGATTCCAGGACATCTTTAACAAGTCAAACACAAAGAGATAAGACATATGATAGTGCTGTATGAGGTGTACTAAAGGAATATTTTAAAAAATTTTATTGTATTAATTTTAGTTTATTTTTTACAAACCAAGATTTTTGCCAATTATTATTTCCTCACTGAAAAGATGCAGTTATTTATATGTTAAGTGATGTATATTTAGGTCTGTGAAAACAATCCTATATGTGTGCTCACAACACTGGTTCCCACTGTTTTGTGCAATTTGAGTGCTAAGCACTTCTAAATTCATATCGTCACACCTTTACTAGTAGTATAGTGGTAGTAGTATAATATAGTAGTATAACTACGTCAAGTTAACATTTTCACTGACTACTACATAATTACAATACAATCATTGGATCAGTTACTAAAAAGAAGTTCCTAACAGCACTCCATTATACAGATTCTTGTGCTTTTTCTTTGGTTTTATAATTCTAGTGCAAAATAGGGGATAAAAGAGAACAAATTCAGTCTCCTTCAAAGGGAAAGACTGTTTTCAAGAACATATTTTTTATTACCTCAGGTACCAATAAAATCCTTATCACTTTGAAAACAGAATTAGAAAGACTGACATGAAATGGTTTTTAATATCACTATGGGGGAATATCAGTCATTAAAAAACCAAATCTTTTCTTTACACACATATTGCTTGAAGACATATCCTAAGCCCCATCAGAAAGATCATGCAGTTGTAGCTAGCATTAAACAAGCAATGCTGCAAACTGGAATGATGCAACAGTGCAACTTTTTGTTAGTCCTTTCAAAACTTAAGGGATAATTGAACTTAAAAGTACTACCTTTTCTCAGACATGGGTATCGAAAGAGCTTTACTATTCCATAATCATCAGCTGTAACCATAACTTGCCCAATAAAATTTGCATCCACAGAATTTATATCATTTATATCTGAATATTTGGGCCAGATTCCATTAACTTCAAGGCCAGAAACACAGGTCCATGATGCCCACTGAATGCCTTTTAATTCTTCCTTGTTTGTTACTTCTTTTCCACCTAAGAATAAAAATGAAGAGCTATTTTTCAATATTCACTTATGTAATTTTAAAGAATGTATTTTTTTTTTAATTCTCCAGAAATCAAACCCAAGTTAGACAGAATTAAATACTAACTTCTAAAACTGTCTTGATAGAACATTCTCTATTATGACCAACAGTATCAGTAGTAAGGCTTCTCAAGACTACTTAAGAGAAGAAGATCATGGGTTTGGTAGTTTACAGTTTTTATTATTTCTTGATATCTGCTTGAGCCTCTGTTATTTTTAAACGTTTATCAAAAATACATGTAGCCATTCTAAGATGAAGTCTGGAAAAATTCTGTTGCTGAACTATTCTAGAAATTTTGATTGTTTAGAGCAAACATTGAAGAACTAATTTGGATCTGGCCACTGCTATTTACTGAAAATACCATTTTTTTTGCTTGGATCCTTGTTACATTATTTTACATCAGCTCTATCTGTAATAAGATTGTTCCAATCCCACAAAGTTTCATGTAAGAGCTTAAGTACTGAGTCAGAGCAACGGCCCATTTAATAAATACTGTGTCTTCAGGAATGGCCAGGAGTGCAGGAGCAACACAAGAACAATGCAAGCAAATGTAAAAGTTGTTAGTCAGGCTGAGTACACAACTGCAGAACCTGAGCAGGATGCTGCCAACAATTCACCTCTCAGTCTTTAGTGGTAACAAAACTGAAGGCAACTGGGCTGGGTTTTTCTTATTGTTAATAGGATTATGACTAGTGGGAGGGGATGGGATGGGATGGGATGGGATGGGATGGGATGGGATGGGATGGGATGGGATGGGATGGGATGGGATGGGATGGGATGGGATGGGATGGGATGGGATGGGATGGGATGGGATGGGATGGGATGGGATGGGATGGGATGGGATGGGATGGGATGGGATGGGATGGGATGGGATGGGATGGGATGGGATGGGATGGGATGGGGGAGCTGCTTCAGGTTCTGTAAGGAGGTAAGTTTTCAACAGAAGGATAGGGCAAGGGAGAACACAAGTCAACTGTAATAACCAGAGTAAAGAATAGCCATAGAGAAAAGATAAAGCAAAATGGCAAATAAATCAGAAAGGAAGATATAAAAAAACCAAACAAACAACAAAAAATCCACACACAAAACCCAAACTAACAAAACAAAACAGAACAAACCCCCACACTCAAGGAAAAGTTTAACTACTATATAACCCTTCAAAAACTGGAAAGGAACTCAAGTGCCCTGTTTGAAGATACTTCAGCTCTGATGAAGTAACTGCATGCTTTGACAAGGTTTACTTTGTAATCTCTTTCAATCACTAATCCACGTAAATGATGAGTACTAATACTGGTTACATCCATGACTAAGTCCTACAGATCTTGTATTAGGCAACTCTAAGTTCCTTACTCATTTATAGTGGAATTTCAAATGTTACACAATTCCAGTCATTATTTAAAAATATTTAGGAGATTGAATCATATACACATCACGGCTTCAATATTTCTTTTACTTCCAGCGAGTAATTCATAACACTGGCATCCTTACATCAAATACTCTTATCTTCTCTACAGTTACCTAATCCCGTTATATTTACAAATTCATTTGCACTCCAATTGTTTCTATCTATTGCAAATTTCTCACTATAAAAGCTCTAAATTCTGTTCTTAAATATAGCAAATATAGCAAATATTTATACATATAAATATATATGTATATAGCAATATATACAAATATAGCAAATATTTATACAAAGTTAGAAAAAAATTTCTCTATAACCCTATGCTTTGAACCAGGATCTATATTTCGCTGTTTTTACAAAACTACTATACATTCTTTCTGTCATAAGTAACAAATATAATAAAGGCAGAATCTTACTTGGCATCCTGTAAAAAAGTCTCTTCCCATTGCCATCATTGGTCTGTAAGTATTTACTGTCCGAAGACCAATCCATATGGGTGATGAAACTTAAAGATCCAATACATTCCCCAACTTTCTTGTATCGCTGAACAACACCATATATATCCACAGAGCTATCATTGGAACCAACAGCTAGGAAATTCCCATCTGGTGAGTATTTCAGTTCATGAATAGCTTCTTTCCTGTCTTTGATATGAACAACCTCAGTCATATCTCTGTAGTATGAAAGAAAGCGCGTCATAAGTGTAGAAGAGCCTTATCGTAGCATCAAGTTCACAGTTTTACAAAACAGATAAAATTATGAAATAATGAAGTGAACTTTACTATCACATATGCAAACACAACATTGCTATTTTTAGAGTTGGGTAGGGCTTCATTGCCAAAGAAGTGGGAAGGGAACAGTGACACCAGAAGGTGCTGCAATGGGCTGAGGGAGGAACAAAAGGAATTATTTAAACTGGGTCTACCAAAAAAAAATAATCAGGTAGATTACCAGATCTTTATTTACTCAGGGAAGAAAACTTAACTGGTATGAGACACAGATTTCATTTTCCCTTCATAACTGTGGGATCACAGCAACAAGGCAGCACTCTTTTTGTATGTGTGATATGCTGACAGCAGCATTCCAACACGTGCAAAAAAGTTTAGGAATTAATAAAAATTTCTTGCTTAATAATTCAAGAATAATTAATAAAGCTAAAACCTAAAGTAAAACACTTCCTAGAACACTGACATTCTTTACAAATAGACCAATAATACTTTTTCAAATGTGTTGTTATGGAACAACAGGAACAAATGTAGCACACACATTTAAAAAGTCTGAGCACCCTCAAGATCAGTAATTTAAAAGAGAAACTTAACTGATCTCCTTATGTACAGTCACTACAGTGTCAATATACATACAATTTATAAAAGCAATTATAAAAAGCTTGAAAGAGTTAATAACTTATCTATTTTTAATTTTTGCAACATACCTGACTCGAAGGACAGTGAAAGAGCCATCCTTCATTCCAAGAGCGAGATGGATTCCATCAGTACTAACCGCAGCACAGCGAATGGGTTCCTCCATATTGCACCGGGCAATCAGAGCATGGTCTATTAAACTCCATATTCTAAAATAAAGTAATAATTACAAATGTAAGGAGTAGTTTGTAGCTGTGTCAAGAGATAGCATGAAGTCTGCCATTTCTGCAGAATGTTGGACGTGGGAGTTCCTATTTTAAAATAATTTTCCACAAGGAAAATCGAAGACAAAAGTGTGAATTTTGCATACAGCAAAGGATATTCTTATATATAAAATAGCAAGAAAATATCTACTGAGAAAATGTAGGGGCAAATTTTGTTTGACTTTCTGAATATAAAAAGAATGACAACATAGGACAACATATACTTTTAGACTACTCTGTGAGAATTCCACTATTTGGTTAATCATTTTAGCCAAGAAGAACATTAAAGAACAATTAATGACTTCGCTCAGTAAACATATCCTTTCCTATTAACAAGTCATTATTCATAATTCCTTACATTTAACTACATAATATTATGTCCTTTTAATAATAATTATTAAAACATGTACATTTTTACTACAAGATACTTTACAAAATCTATAATTTACAAGATATATCAGGAATTCTAAAGCATTATTTCAGTATTTGTAATTCAACTACTGTTTTGCTTAAGCACTTTACACTGAAGATATTTAACAAAAATACCAACACATTTAATTTCTAAGAAAGAAAAGGTGTTTTTGACAAAAAAAGGATGAACTTGTAAAAGGGAGTCATTTACTGGGTTTTCTCAGAATATAGATTTTATTTAATAAGCATGCATTAAGTTTGATGAAACTCTCAAGCTAAAATTCACAGTATTTGAAAAAGTTAATATGGTTAAGAGTAAAAATTATAAGTTTTTATTACAATTTTTTTCATTGTAACCTGCGAATTATTAACTCCTGAAAAGAAAACACTTACAGGATACTGGTGTATAAGTGCTTAATGTCAGGCTAAATGAAATATGTCCAAATTCTGTATGTTTCATTTTTGTGAAATACACATTTCCACTACATTTTATTACTGGAGTACTAATTTTATGCATAACTTAACTGGTTCAGAAGCACTTCAGTGTCACATCTTAATAGCTTTAAAATGTATCCAGTTCAATCAGGTTATCTACAAAATGAGCTGTTTGTATAAAACTGTACGCAGTTAAACAAACAAGATTTAACCTGACTGATCGATCATCACTTCCAGTCATTGCCAGCGGTTTTGTAGGATGGACAGCCAAAGCCCACAGCTCTCCCTCACAGTGCCCCTGCATTATCAGGAAAGGCTTATTACGCTCATGCACCACAATTTCAAAAATTTCACTATCTTGCGTCCCGACAAGTATATGGTCTCCTCTCCAGCAAACACTTCTAACAGACAGACCTGTAGAAGAGATTGTTACTGAGAGATACATCCTGAGAATTTGTGAAACAAAGGTAATAAAGCACACGACAAAACATAGAAGCAAGAAAATGTCAAGAAGTATCCATATACCTTCTTCGATTAATCCATTTACTCCTTTAATCTATTCCATATAACACATACTGCCTCTGGAGCATTAATTTTTCAAACTTAGTATTAGAAAAATTCTAAAATAAAATGTGACCCTTATTTTAATAAAGGACATGTAGCCAATTCTTGTATTACAACATCTCTGACAGAGAAAGACAATAATGACATTTGCATCTGAAATTACGCACTTAGTGTCTTTAAATTTCAATAAAGGTAGCAGACAATATAAATTACAATTTCTGACCAAACCATGGACCTTAGTACCAGTTAGATGAACCTAAATTATATAAGTGACAGAAGCATCAGTGGAACATGCATATATAAGACAGTCAAAGAGCATCATTCTCCTCAGCTTCTTTCTGAGATGATCTCTTAAAGCAAATTTTTTTTAATATCTTAATAGGATCTGGAATTTTTTTTCTCATTAAATAGAAAATAAAAATAAATCAAACTGAAATAACATATAGAGAGATGAAAAGGGTTTATGATGGAATTTAGTATGCATTTCTAACAACTGAATTAGTTTCCAGGCTTACAGTGGAGGCGAGCACTCACAGGCTGCACTTTTTTGTAGATAAGGTATGAGTTGATGGACTTAGTGGGCGAGGGAAAGGCTATGGATGTGGTGTATCTGAACTTCCATAAAGCCTTTGACACCATTTCCCACAGCATTCTGCTTGAGAAACTGGCTGCCAATGGCCTGGACAGGCATGCTCTCTGCTGGGTCAAAAACTGGCTGGATGGCCGCGCCCAAAGAGTGGTGGTAAACGACGTTAAATCCAGCTGGAGGCCAGTCACAATGGTGTTCCCCAGGGCTCAGTTTTGAGGCCAGCACTGTTTAATGTCTTTATCAATGATCTGGACAAGGGGATCAAGTGCACCCTCAATAAATTCGCAGGTGACACTAAGCTGGGTGGGAGTGTTGATCTGCTTGAGGGTAGGAAGGCTCTGCCAAGGGATCTGGACAGGCTGGATCAATGGGCTGAGGCCAATTCTATGAGGTTTGACAAGGCCAAGTGCCGGGTTCTGCACTTGGGTCAAAACAACCCCATGCAATGCTACAGGCTTGGGGAGGAGTGGCTGGAGAGCTGCCCAGCAGAAAAGGACATGGGGGCGTTGGTTGACAGCCGGCTGAATATCAGCCAGCAGTGTGCCCAGGTGGCCAAGCAGGCCAATGGCATCCTGGCCTGTATCAGAAACAGTGGGGCCAGCAGGACCAGGGAAGTCATCCTTCCCCTGGACTCGGCACTCGTCAGGCTGCTCCTTGAGTACTGTGTTCAGTTTTGGGCCTCTCACTAGAAGAAAGACATTGAGGCACTGGAGTGTGTTCCAAGAAGGGCAACAAAGCTGGTGAAGGGGCTGGAGAACAAGTCTTATGAGGAGCAGCTGAGGGAACTGGGGTTGTTTAGTCTAGAGAGGAGAGGGGGAGACCTTATCACTGTCTACAGTACCTGAAAGGAGTTAGTAGAGAGGTGGGTGTATGTCTTTTCTCCCGGCTAACTAGTGACAGAACAAGAGGAAATGGCCTCAAGCTGCATCAAAGGAGGTTCAAATTGGATATTAGGAAAAATTTCTTCACCGAAAGGGTTCTCAGGCACTGGAATGAGCTGCCTAGGGAGGCGGTGGAGTTCCCATCCCTGGATGTATTTAGAAGACGGGTAGATGGGGTGCTCAGAGATATGGTTTAGTAATGGATAGGTACAGTTGGACTCGATGATCTCAAAGGTCTTTTCCAACCAGATGATTCTATGATTCTATGACTGATTCTATGATGCGCTTCTGAAAAGTATTTTTAACTATGTAGACAGAGAAAAAAAAAAGGGCAAAAAAAAGCGCACCTTATTTATATGATTAAATTTACATGGTGGGTTAGCAGGCTGGTCAGGTACATCTGCACTGATGTTTTAATTCTGAGAAAGCTAGCTTTCAAAGCAAAGCTCCTGATCTTGCCTACTTACCATGCTTTGCCTTCAAATGCACAAATAAGACTCGCTCCACAGGAAACAGAACTGAAAGATATGCTTCACTGATTGCACTCCAACTGCAATACAATATTCAGTCCACTGAACCAGACTAGCGCTAATGCTAATGCCCCTCAAACACCCCTCAAAATGCATATATACTGCACTACTCTAACCCTCCACACTGTTTTGCTTTACAGATTTGTTCCTGTTGTGCTGTACTGGTGAATAAAACCACCTGACCATTCAGCACTATAATCTAGACATTATATGGCTATATCATCTATAGTGATTAGAAAAAAAAAAAGAAAAAAACTACCAGAATCTTTGATGAAGGATGATTAAGACATCTGTTTTAGTACTTTGGAACTTCTTATGGTGGAGGAAGATATTTTGAAAAACAATTTGATTACCTGCAGATATATCTAGAGTCAGCAATTGCTCTGCGAGCCACTCACAGGGATACAGAACTTGAGTTCATGTTCATGGATAAAATTATCAAGAGGTGAGAGGTACAGGAGCAGCAGAAAATGCAATTAAGAAAATGAGTAGAAGGCCACATAAATAAGGGCAATCCTCAAATGGATACAATAAGAAAAAAATTAAGGGAAAAGATTCAGAAAACTGAATTTATTAAAGGCAGGATTTTTAAAAAGCTATTAGCTCTGTCATGGGCATTTGAGAAGTCAAAAAGATGAGGATGGACTCCACAAAAGTGATCAGGAAGAACCAAAATAGTTCATGGCAAGAGTCTGTTCCATCAAAAGTAAAGGAAACAATATGGAGTGGAAAACAAGTTTGAGATAATGAAATGGGGAACGAAACACAGCTTTCAACTACATCCAAGAGAGCTGAGAAACAGCAACTGAGTAAATTTAAATTTACAAGAGTCACTGTACTGCAGGGCATATAAAATGCTTGTATTCTTTTCCTGAATCACTAAAGCAACAGTATCTAGAACACTGACAAAACATGCTACAGACTGCTACATATAATATTCTAGCATGAAATCATAGGTTTATCTAAGCAGTGTTTAAAGTACTACGAAATTGTAGATTACTTCCAAATAGTTTTTATGAAAATTTGAATAACTAGTAAATGCAATTTCTGTACTCCACTGTTTCACACTGTAGATCTCATTGTTTCTTCTAAGCTCTCTTAAAGCATTACTGTTCCCTGTTAAAAACTGCTGTGCTACAGAGAAGATGTGCATTTTATTGCTTTAAAAGAAAAAAAAAATCTCTGTGTTTACAACTTCATAGTATGTTTTACATTAGCTATGAAGGACTATGTGACCTTCATACTAGTGGGCATGATCAAACTTATTTTCTAGCAAATAGTCCACAGTAACATACATGAAACAAACTTTTTTTCTTTAAGTCTTTTCTTGTTCAAAACCGGTAAATTTCCTAATTTACTGGTATACAGAAAGTGACAAAACTTCTTTTTACCTTTATATCCCTGGTCTGTTTCCCTGAGATCAATCACAGTAATTGGTTTAAAATTTAAGTCCCACAAGCGAACACAGCCATCCCTGCCACCAGTGGCAAATCCCTCTTCGCATGCATTCATGCTGAAAATTCCTGCCTAAAGAGAGAAGAAAGTTATTTTTAACAATATACACAGATTAGAAACACCAATATGGAAAGCAGAACTCTCGTCCATGCCAGTATCGATTGCCTTTCTCTCTTCATACCAGTTACACTGTTGAAAATAGCATAAACATACGCAACTAATACAAGCTTCAAATATGAAAGAGTCAGAAAGGGTAACAAATTCAAAACGAGCAGAATTCACATTCAATGACAAACAGTAAGATAAGAGAATTGTTGCAATACTGCTTTCATCCTGATGATGATGATCGTAGTCATGGTGCTTCTTAACGCTAGGAAAAGTTTAGTTTCATATCCTCTTGCCTTAGGGTCTGGTCCAGCTCTCACAAATGTCAGGAGGATGATTTCCACCGATTTACGTTAGGCTTGGTTCAGGGCCTTTGTTGCTATTACTCAGCTTCTATGCAACCAGGCAAAAAATATCTGGGATTTTTTTACATTTTAAGCCAAGGAAGACTGATATAAAATTCAAGTTTAGAAGCAAAATATAAGAAAAACAGTGATCACTTTACATCATTTAAAAATATATAATATAAGCTCTTTAATTTTAAAGGTGGACATCAGGAAACAAAACCTAACACATTTTCTTTAACTCGCTTGATACGTGTTTTCTTCGGGATAGCAAAGAGAAAAGGATGATATATCTATTACCAAATAAAGATACATAGCCACTAGATTTGATGTAAATATGATACATTATCTAACCAGCATACACACTTTTTTTTTTAAAGTACATACAAAACTCACTAGTCTTATTTTCAGAAGCAGCTCATGCATTTCTGTAAGAAAAGCTACTGAAAGGGCAGCTTTGGCTAATAAGCCTATGAGAAGTTAAAAAAAAAAGTTCAATATTTATTGAAAATATTTAATATTCAGCTATGACAAAAGAAAACAGGAGAGCATTAAAAAGGATGGAACGGAAAAAATCTGTCTCTAACTCTTGTCCAAAAGAAGTTAGAACAGCCAATCACGGACATATATCTTCTGTAATATTGTTCTGAAATTTCAGTTTCTTTGGTTGAGGTTATGGATTTTACAGTAATGAAGCACATTAACCTCAAAAGTGAAAGCAATTTGCAAAGGAGAGATTGGTTTTTGAAGGAAAATAAAGCTGTAGGCTTACAGAACAAAATAGCATCCAGTGTTGAGACCTGCGAGAATTCTCAGGTACTCGTCACTATTCTCTCCTACCAAGCTGTTTTTTCTTCTTAAATTATAACTAATGAAAATATCATCATGGACTGATCATAATGAAATATGGACTGTGTTTGCTTCTCTAGCATTAGCTAACAAGGATATCATTGTTTAAGTTGAGAGAAAAGAAATCCCTCAGCTTCCACAAAAAAAGCTTATTATTACTAGTATGTCAAATGACAATCAAAACTGAAGGACTAGGGTGACAGAACTCAATTTTTTTGACATGTCAAGTCCATCCTCAGGACACGGACTTTTAAGACAAGCCATATTTTCAGGAGCAGTACGTGCCTAAACAGAAATACAGTGGAATTTTTTAAGTCATAAGCAGATTAGAAGGCTAACTCTCATTATTTCTAACGTCCTGAAAATCCTCTTTCTGTTTCTTTAGGAGTCTAGAGATTTTTGAAAATACAACCCAAACTGTATTTGTTTTTCTGTGTGTCTGTCTGTTTTATTGCATTAAGCTTTTAGCATCACTGAGCAAATAAAAGGCCAGAGGAATTTTGCCTCATTTTGTACCATACATTGAATTCTGCCCAAGTTCTGGCATATTTAAACATTTTAAAGCTTTCTGAAATGCAACCTTGATAACAGAATTATTCTCTTTTCTATAATTAACTCCTTCCCAAATCCATTATTTAATTAGTCACTATTAAAAAAAGAATCAGACATTTGGCAATGTGGGAAGCTGGTTGAATATTCTGGAGATAAAATCAAGTGGATCCAGGATTAATCTGTTTTCCATTTCACAGAATATCCTTATCTTGAAAAGGACATACTGGTTGTCAAGGAGATTTGGCAGATGTTGTGCTTGCTCAATCTCCTGAAATGCAATAGGACATTCTCGTTTCAGTCTATGTGCCACTGGAATTGAAGAATTAGATGAAAACTAGAAGAAAGGTCCCTTATTAATGGGGACTGTAATGAAAGAACCTGAGCTTACCTACTCTTCGTTTAATTGTTAGGCCCACACTTAATGGGGAAAAGACAGATTCTTTACACTGGTAGCATGGCCAGTCATAATTCTTCAACTAAATCTTTCCTTTTAGAAACTGTCTATTAACTATCTGTTAACTATTGCTAACACAAATCAACTTTGGAGTCTTCGGGCTTCTCTTAATCCTTCAGCCTGAAATTATCATTAACGTAATTTGATTCTTGATGGTCAATAGCCTTCTAGCAGTAATGAGAGGCAGACAATTGCATCAACTTTGTTTGATCCAATTGAATAATGTGAGCAATAAAGACTGATTGCGCTCCTGAATCAAAATAAAAGGTGTGGATAAAAGTCTTCCGTCTTAAAAATTATGAAGTTTGACATATGGACAGTGATCTTCTGCTACAAATTTTTCATTACAGTTCCTAATGAATAGGAAAATTCAGGAAATGACATCTCAAATTGGTCAGCAGTTTTCTCAGAATGCAGAATATTTCCTATTTTTCCAATATAACCAGTTGGTATCACATCTGTGTTCTCTCAAATTGGAAAAGAAGAGTTGAATGAGAGCAAAGGAGGAAATAAATACCCAGATCTACCAGAAATGGTAGATGAAAGCTGGAGAAGTACAAGAGCAACTTGATAAAGACAGTCTGTACTGCATGAATATTTTGCTACTGTTTGTATCTACAAAGCTGCTGATAGTGAGCTAGTGTTAGGTTTTCTATTGCTGCTGGACCTATCTTACTTCCAATGGACAAAAATCAAGTGTTAATTTATCTAAATGCAGTTGTTTACATAAATCCACCACACTGACTCTGACACTGCAATTCCTAAAACACAACTGAAGCTAGTTATAATTAGGACTAAGCTTGAAAGATCATATGGAAACTTCAGAAGAAACTGACTACTACTGAGCAATATGGAGAACAGAGATGTTACAGCAGTTCAGTAAGAACTCCAGTGCTTCCTTTTCACTCCTAGACACTACTCAGGACATAGCTGTCAACATGTAAAGGAACACGTGTTGGACACTTATTCTAAGGTATTGCCTCTCCCAATATATACTGCATAACAAGGAAATGGATTGCAAACATTTAAGGTTGATGTCAGCAAGTTTACAGTGGAGAACCACTACTGTGAAATTTAATCTTCTTATCTAACAAATCACCCAATAAACAGTTTAAAAAAGGGCATATTACTGTAAAGAAAATATAAAACAGTTCTCTATATGCCTCTCATTGGACAGTTACCTTTCAAATCCACGACTAGTCCAAGCAGTAGGAGAAAAACACTGCATGGCTCAATGTGTTGGTATATGATACCAGCTAAAATACATTCATTTAAGTTCATTATATTGTTTCCATCTATATTTAATTAGTATTCAGCCAACTGACATAGCCGTGCAATAGTTTTAACAGAGTGCCTGTTATTTAACCCCGAGCCTGTTATTTAACCTCAGTTTCTGACATCAATCCACACAACTTTAATGTGTACTTCTGAAAGGCTATCTCAAAATAAATTATTCAGCTGTTGAGAAAGCATCTTATGTACATTTACTATGCAAGGCAAAGGCACACAAGAATCTTTAAAACATACAGTGTTTTTAAATAAGCATACTATTTTGTTTTAATACCTGAGTAACATCTTGTATATATACCTTATTAGTCATGGACTACTTTAAATTTAGAACATGTAAGATGATAAAATAAATAGAAGAATCTGTAGTCTGTTCTTTGCACTGGTACAAAAATGAGACATCTAATAAAAGATTTTTTTTTTCTAGTCAAGGTATATATTAACTTTCCAGAAGGAGATGCACTGCCATTACCCTTTGTTCTATTACTATCTGCCCTTGTAAAAGTCCCTCCCCAGCTTTCTTGCAGGCCCATCTTGTAGTTTCCATCTTTTCCTACTTTTGATTCCTTCTACATTAATTGAACTCTCCAGTCCTCTTTCAACTAATTCTCCAGTCAATCCAACCTATTTGCTTTCAACGTTTTTCTTCTACTCAAACTTAGGTAGGAATTTGCCAGAAACTCTTCTTTCCTCTGTCTACAGTTCTTAGTGTTGTTGTGGCAGAAAATGGATAATCTGGCTTAGCTGTGAACTCTTATTTTGCTTGTTAGTGTTAAAGTTGCTATCTGCTTCCTCAGTTGCTTATACTGGGACAGCCTGGTTTATTTTTCACATTGAATTACTCTTAAAATAAAAAATGTCTTTTCAGCTAGGGTAACTGTAACAAGGATAGCCAACCTTTGAAAAGAACCCATTTTCTCTATTAATGCAGACCACTGCCAGCTGGATGGACTATATGCCCACATCACTAACGTGCTTTACAAAATGTTTTCCTGCATCTCAGACACCTACTGTTTGTATTGCGAGAAAGGACTTCACAGTACTTCATGCAAATAATGAGCCTCAAATAAATTTTTAGTTTAATTCAAGCCAGTTGAGGAGTAATGATGAGGGAAGCTACACAAGTATGCAGGGATGACAATTCCAACACTAGCATACTGAACAGAAATTTAGATCAATTCCCTACTATGTACATACCATGCTTTCAACAACATATGCACATCACAAATGTTACCATTTACACTTGCATTTTTTTAAAAAAAACTATGTATGAGAAGGATATGTTTTATAAAATTAAGTACAAAATAACTGTAATATATGATGGTAATAGCTTAGTATAGCTGAAGAGGCCCTCTTATTCCAAACTGCTGTATTTTGTGCTTACAATAATCTGACAATATTATCCTTTAAGGTAATATTTCATTGAAAAACAAGGTTTCATTTTGTTACAAAGTAAGCTTCCAGAAGAGATTTTATTGGTT